CTATCAAGATTTAAGTGATGAGGTGGGTGAAGACGATGATGAACAAAAAAAAGAGATGGTCAAGCTCTTGAAGGAACTCAAGAGATTCATGATTTCCAAGGAAGTGAAACATGAATCAACCAAGAAGAAGAGTCCCTCGGTATGTTTTGATTGTCAAAGAAAGGGGCATGTCATGTATGAATGTCCTATTTTAAATACAAAGGGGAAGAAGGCATTTGTTGCATCTTGGAGTGATGAAGATGATTCCAATGATGAAGATGAAGTAGTCAACCTATGCCTCATGACCACTCAAGAAGAATTTGAGGTATCTTCTAACTCAAATGAATTTAATTCATTTACTTTTGATGAGTTACAAGATGCTTATAATAGGTTGTATTTGGGATTTAAGACCATGAATTCCAAATATACGAAATTAATTTTAAAACTCAAAATTGAAAATAAATCGATTTTGAAAGCTATAGTTGATTTTGAAAATCAAAATGAAATTTTGAAAAATGATTTAGAACTTTCAAAAATCAAAATAAATGATTTAGAAAAGAAAAATTTTGAGTTAGAAGTTAAGCTTGAAAGCTTAACAAAAGAAAAAGAATTAATTTCTAAAAACAATCTATTATGTTTAAAAATGGCAAAATGCTCACATTGCCATTATCATGGTCATATGAAACATAATTGTCCTTTGAAGAAAGGAACACATTTTAAAATTAGGCAAGTATGGGTTCCAAAAGGAACAAGGGGCATTGTAACTAATGTTCAAGGATCCAAAGCAATTTGGATACCAAAATCTACTTAAATGTCTCTTGTAGGTGTGTGGAAGCAATTGTGATGAAAATGATGACATTCAAGATGCTCTAGCCACACATGAAAAAGGAATGGGTAACCTCTAAGCTTAATGCTTTTAATTTTGGTTATTTGGTTGCTCATTTGATTTTAAGCATGCATGAGTTTTGATTTTAAATGATTATGCATCATTGTTTTAATCTCATGTATGTTGAAAAGATGATTATGATGAACATTTATTTTTGAGAATTTTTAGTTCATCATAATGAATTTTGGTCAAAATTGGTTTTAAATGCTAATGATATCTCTCTAACAATTGATATCAAATTTCAAAATACTTTGATTTTATAAATTTTAATTTTTGGCCTAAATTTGAATGTTTATGCATGTGGTCTAAATGAAAATGATATCTCTCTAGCAATTGATATCAAATTTTTAAAATTGCATAACATTTTTGGAAAACTTTATGCAAATGCACTTAATTTTAGCAATTGGTATTAATATCAAATTTCAACAATTGGTATTGCATAAAGTATTTTAGACTTAGATATATTGAATTTCATGTGCTACAAACATGTTTGTTATTCTTTTTAGAAATTCAATATTTTGTTTAAGTGTCAAGATCTTAAAAGCTTAATTTTGTTTGGAATATATTTATTGAGGGGGAGCTTTGATTTTTCAAATTATTTTTAAATGTAAAATTTACTACTTACTCTCCAAAGTTATTTTAAACTTCAAAGATCGAATTATTTTTGATATAACAAAAAGGGGAGAAGTTTATTTTGAAAAATTCAATTTCTTAATGAAAAAGGGGGAGTTTAACATTTTCATATATTTTCCAACAACTAGTATCTTTTTCATTAAACATTTTATTAAGGGGGAGTTTTTGCCAAAAACATTTTTTCAAATGTTTTGTTATATCAAAAAGGGGGAGATTGTTGAACTATGTTTCGATATAATAATTTAAGGCAAAATGGTTTTTGGACTTGAATTGAATTTACAAAATGTATTTGGACTTAATTGAATTTATTACAAATTTACAAAAATAATTCAAAGTTCTTTTAATTTAAAATTGAGCACAAAGAATTTGTTGGAAAATCCTTGGTGAGGAGCTAAGGTAGTGGACGTAGACTTTGATTGAGAAAGTCGAACCACTATAAATTGCTGTGCAATTCTCTATCTTTCAATCTCCTTACTCCCTAAACACAAAACCGTTCCGACCCCTCTTTGCAAATCGTTCCGGTTGTCGTTTCGAGCTTCCGAAAATCCTAACATAAACTTTCGATTTTTTCAAAACCTAACGTTAAATTTTGAAAGGGGTACGAACAACAACTAAAGTTTTTAACGTCATGATACTAAAATGAAACAAAGACTAAAGTTTTTACCGGCGAGGTACTAAATGAAACAAAAACTAAACTTTAGTAATGGTTTTGAAAAAATTAAAAGTTTATGTACTAAAACGGACTAAGATTGATAGTTTAGGTATCAAACACGTAATTTACCCTTCAATCTCTAAACTCGAGAGGTTCCCATCAATTCAAGCTGATAATTATTCAAAGAAAAAGAAAAAATTCGAGCGCCTTCCATGGGTGCAGTGTGCTAAACTCCATCTACAACGAATCAGTAATCGTAGTGTACAAGAACTTGGTTGTGAACTTTAACGTACTCGATCGAAAGAAATTGCAAAACACAGGGTCTAAAGGAGATATTAACCCGCAACATCCGTAAACATCAGATCGTTCTAATTTCAGCGACCCACATACCAGATTCAAGTTGTTCTGCGAGATTAGGAGCCCCGCTTATAGTGAGAAGTGTGATTACATCGAGGAGGAGGCGGTGCATAAAAGCAAACATTACCGCTACATAATCTATCTCCGATTGGCTCAACCGGTTGACTGTAAACAGAAACTTCTGCATATTAACATGCACAAATCCTGATTTATCTATATTACTCGGATTCTTATTAATCAAAAACTCAATTAAGTTGTCGTCAATCGAACTTTATAGCCGAAAAGTTGAAAAAAGGAGAGCCATTCTTACCCTTATGGACAAGTTCTCGAGCCATGGTGGAAGTGGGAATAAAGGGAGATGAAGCCAACAGAAAGCAAAGCATGAGATTGAGAATCAATGGGTTCGTTTTTGGATGTCTTATGTATGTTGAGTTGAGCTCTCCCCATTCTCTTAACTCCTATTTATTGATAGATCAAATAGGTTATGACATGGGTAAGTGATTTATCCTTTTTAGTTTGAGCGTAAAGTCACATTCAATAGTGAATTAATAGTTTAATAGTTGGTCCTATCAAAATATTATATATGAATAAAAAGGTTAAATAAAGATGAATGGAAGTGAGTTGGTTCTATCATTGCTCTCGATCTTGAATAAGAAGTTTTATAATGAGTTTTGGAATTGATGTCAAGATAATATCATTATGACTACTCATATGGTAGCATATTAGGAGAGTATTGGTCACCTGACGATAATTTTAACTTAGATAAGTCAATAGGATGAGACTTTCTGAGCAAGAGCGGTTTTATTGAGCTCACGTAGGAGTAATTGCATACTTAATATTTTGAAAAATTATGTTAAATTTAATTTAGTGTGTTAAAACGAAAGAAAAAGAAAAAAAAATTTACGTACTCATTCTTAAAAAGAAAAAAGATAATTAAAATTTTAGATCCGTTACTGTTATGGTATTAGATATTTAAAATCATTCTTTGGAATATATTTTTCTTTAGAATGTTATATATATAGAATTTATTTCTTCAAAGGTTTAAAGTGCAAGTACGAAGGCGACATGTGAACGATGTTTGACATAAATATAATAATATTTAAATTATTTATAAAATTTTAAAACTAAATTATTTAATTAATATTTTTTATACTCTCGTTTCTATCTTTGAAAGATATTCTATACTCGCGGGGATGACAAATTCAATTTCCACGGCAGCGGGAACCTTTTTTGACCAATTTTCAGCCATACAAAACCAATAATCGACTCATGAAATTTCCATTGGAGTACCAACTATTTTTATTCATGGAATAAAACCGACTTTTTAGATGAACGACCATAAGATTTTAGGGTGAAATACACATATGATTTTTGATTATAGGGTGTTGTTTTGTTGAGTTCGTAGTTTATGAAAAGTTATAAAATGATCACTCGACTGTATGTCGTTACTTTGTTGAGCCTTTTGACTATTAAAAATTATAAAATGATCATCCGACTATTCATATGTTCCAAACTCATCATTTCCATAAAAAAATTGACGACTTTCTGAGCTGAACGTTAACCTGCTGACTGAGATATGATAAAATCTGATCATAAAATCGTTTTCTAACGTATTTTATGGACAATCTTCATTTACATTATGTCTTCGAGTTGATATTTAAAACATTATGATATTGAGTCAATGTTAGAAAGTAACGTCAGTGTCAATAAACATCATTAAAATATAATTTTATCATATTCTAGTCAACTTTTTAACATCCAACTTAAACGACCGTCAATGTTTTAATAGAATAGGATGTTTTGGAACATATGAATAGTCAAAGTGACAATTTTGTAACTTTTAATTGTCAAAATACTCAACGAAGCAACGTCCTACAATCGGATGACTCAACAAAATAACGCTCTATAATCAGCGGACTACTTGTTTGTTTTACCTAACATTTTAGGTTAAAGACATATTTTTTAAAAGCTATAATATAAATTTAAAAATAAAAAATTATAAAATTTTAAGAGAATATACAATTATATAAAAAGTTAAAATTTTTAGGAATACCATTATTTTTGTTACAAAAAAATTTAGGTCAGGGTGGCTCCCTTAGTTCAGTGCTTGGGTATAAATTAAGACCCAATTGAGATTTATATAGGAATTTAAATATTGACTACCAAGAGTGACGGTAGATAAGATTCGAACTTGACCTTACAAACTCAAATTTCTGAATATCAACCACTTGTACCAACGCTCGTTGGCTTAGGAATATGATTCTTCTAGTACCAAAATCATTGAAAATTTTACTTTAAATATTTGATTTTTAAATTTTTTTTAATTATTTATGTTATACTTGCTATAATAACATATTTAATTATAATATAAATAATTTATATATATATATATATATTAAAATAGTTTGTTTAAATTGGGCCCATGTTTCAACGGGCCATTTCTAACCCGATACAATATTTAGACACATTAGGATCCAAATCAACATCCTCGTTCCCAATTCCCTCCAATCCAATTTTCTAAAAAAGTTCACATTTCTCGAGGTCACCCGATGGAGAAAACCCTAATTAAACTTACACTAGCCGACTAAATTTCCCCAAACTCGCGACTATACTCCGCCTCTTCTAAAGGTGTGTCACCCACCCTTCCTTCTCCTTAACACTTTATTGCATCCCTTTTTTTAGTTTTTTTTTTAAATTTAGAACCAACTGAGTCTTCACAACTCCAATTACGATGTAGTTTTGCCATTTTTTTAGTAATTGTAAATTTAGGAAAAGAAATGGGTTTTTATTTTTAGAGTTGCAATAGTTTGTGAATTTTTCTGTAATTTATAATTTGTCAGAAATTATATCAATTTTGGACAAAATTCTGGTAGAATCAGTTCTTGATGTGTTATTTCATAGAATTGTGAAAAGATTTAAAAACCCATTAGTTTTGAGATTCACTGAGTTCTTTGGAATTGTAGGGTCAAGGAAATGACTTCATATTAGATTTTGTACGAGAAGAGCGTTGGTTTTGGTTGGATTGGAAGTTTTCATACATTTTGAAGGACATTGAGGAACGGGTTTTTTTTTTTTTAAAGAAAAAGTGATATGGGGACGCCGGTTTCTGACGGGTTGGTGTCGAAGAGGTCGTTGAGGAAGAAATCTGGACAGAAGAACTATGATGAGAATTTAATGGACGAGTTCATAGAGAAGCACGTAGGTGCCGCGTTTAGGAAGATTAGAACAAAGGAGGAGCTGGAGAAAGAGACTGAAATTGAGGCAATGATAGCATTATCTTTGGGATTCCCTATTGACGCGCTAATTGAGGATGAAATTAAAGCTGGGGTGGTAAGAGAGTTAGGTGGAAAAGAGCAAAATGATTATATTGTTGTTAGGAACCATATTCTTTCTCGGTGGAGGAGTAATGTACGGGTATGGCTAACTAAGGGACATATAAAAGAAACTGTGAGCAATGAATATATACATTTGTTATCTGCAGCTTATGATTTTCTTCTCTACAATGGGTATATTAATTTTGGAGTTTCACCATCGTTTTCCTCTTACCTCCCAGAGGAGGCAACTGAGGGTTCCGTGATAATAGTTGGAGCTGGACTTGCTGGCTTGGCAGCAGCAAGGCAACTTTTATCTTTTGGTTTCAAGGTAGTTGTCATAGAAGGGAGGAATCGACCTGGGGGTAGAGTTTATACTCAACAGATGGGTAAGAAGGATAAACATGCTGCAGTGGATCTTGGTGGTAGTGTAATCACCGGCATCCATGCCAATCCTCTTGGAGTTCTAGCCAGGCAACTTTCTATTCCGCTTCATAAGGTCCGAGATAATTGCCCTTTATATAAACCTGATGGGGTGCCTGTCAAGAAGGAAGTTGATTCCAGGATTGAAACGATCTTTAACAAGATGCTTGACAAAGTTAATGAACTGAGAAAAATAATGGGTGGATTTGCGAATTATATTTCTCTAGGATCAGTTCTGGAAAAGCTCAGACAGTTGTATGCTGTGGCTAGAAGTCCGGAGGAGAGGCAATTTTTGGAATGGCATCTTGCTAATTTGGAATATGCAAATGCAGGATGTCTTTCAGACTTGTCTGCTGCCTACTGGGACCAGGATGATCCTTATGAGATGGGTGGAGACCATTGTTTTCTTGCTGGAGGGAATTGGAGATTGATAAAAGCATTATCTGATGGAGTCCCCATAATCTATGGGAAAACAGTTGATGCTATTAGATATGGTGTTGAAGGAGTTGAGGTTGTTGCTGGTAATCAAGTATTCCAGGCAGATATGGTTCTTTGCACTGTGCCTCTTGGAGTATTAAAAAGAAAGACCATTAGATTTGAACCGGAGTTACCACAAAGAAAGCTAGCTGCGATTGACAGATTGGGTTTTGGACTCCTGAATAAAGTTGCCATGATTTTCCCTCATGTTTTCTGGGGAGAAGAGCTAGACACGTTTGGATGTCTGAACGAAACTAGTGATAACCGTGGAGAGTTCTTTTTATTCTACAGCTACCATACCGTTTCTGGAGGTCCAGTGTTGATTGCTCTGGTGGCTGGTGAAGCTGCACAAACATTTGAACGCACAGATCCTTCAATCTTGCTCCATCGTGTTCTAAGCAAACTTAGAGGTTCTATATATTTTTCTAACTTGTACAAATGTCAACAGATTATTTATTTTCTGTTTCCATGGTTAAACTCTTGTATTTTCTGTATGTTCATTGGGAAAGTAGTGTTGTGATCTATTGATTTTCCTTGCAGCTATTTATTGTCCAAAAGGTGTAGATGTGCCTGACCCTATACAGACAATTTGTACAAGATGGGGAAATGATCCCCTTTCATATGGTTCATACTCTCATGTTAGGGTACAGTCATCCGGCAGGGATTATGATATACTTGCAGAAAGTGTAGGCAATAGGATGTTTTTTGCTGGTGAAGCGACAACTCGACAATATCCAGCCACCATGCATGGTGCCTATTTGAGTGGGTTAAGGGAAGCTTCACGTATTCTCCGTGCTACAAGAGGTCGCCAAAGCTACTTTAGGAGGTCTGTGCAGCGGAATGTTGGACCAAGCAGTGATCAATTGGCGGATCTTTTCAAGTGGCCTGATCTAGTATGTGGGAAGTTCTCATTTGTGTTCGATCCATTAACAGATGACCCTAAATCAATGGGACTCTTGAGAATTACTTTTGATAATTGCAAAGATGATACGAATAAGGTGCTGGAAAATAGCTGTGACCCTCCATCAAATCAACCATTGCAGCTGTACACGACCCTATCTCGTGAACAAGCACTTGAGCTACAGACAGTAACTGGAGAAGAAGAAACTAAATTGGTTTATTTGATGAATAGTTTTGGATTAAAGCTTATGGGAGCTTATACTGTTGGAAACGCATATAACTCCTTGGTTACTAGCATATCCAATGCAAGAAGAGGTAGGGGAGGCAGATATCGTATATCTGCTCCATTGCTAAATACGGTCTGAATGAGCTATCGGTGTCATTTCTTTTTAGTTTTATGTACTCTTTTGTTAGAATGGAATCTGGACGCATAGTAGTGCTCCATGAGTGGAATGAAAAGAATGTCTTCTCTGGTGCATGTACATAAATCTAATCAGGTAGATTATTCTTCATTGACATCTTCTAGAGTAAATGCCGTCATCAGGATTTCGAATGTCGTAAATTCTTTCTTGGCCAAATTGGTTGCGAATTAAGGGATTTGGTACATGGTGTTGGTGTTGGTGTAGGTGTAGCAGTATTCAGTTGTGCTTGTCATAGTATTTCCATAATCAGATGCCGTGTTAAATCTTAGTTTTGTTGTATCTTGTATGTTGTATAGAGTAAAATTTTCATCTTTGGTGCCAACATATATGTTTCGTCGCATATCTACATGATTCAAATCTCTAAACACCTTGTTTTTTTGCATTATGAACGGCTTATTGATGCTTTGTATACCCCAGGAAGCATATTTTTTTACTTGCTTGGTCAAAGCATATTGTTAATTGTTAGTGTTCATGATCGTGAATTCTGGTGGTCCTATTGGATGATATAAACACAAATAAAGAGGTTGAATTGAAACCAACTCAAGTTTATATTTTTTCGAGTATCGCCAACCGATCAAGCCACCATATCTTTGTTACCTGAATGGACAACAGTTGAAGAATTTTAATAAAAACACTTATTTGATGGGTAGCATATGAACTAGTCGCAGGAAGCCGGTTCATCTATGGACACAGTCTTCTCTTCGTACCCCAGTCGCTTCCATTGGGCGCTGGGATTAATGGTCCCAGCTTCCTCCATGGTTTGATCATTAACATGACCAGTTCCATTAAATTGTTCGAAACTTCCCATGATGCAAGAACCTAACAATAAGTATAAAAGAAACAATTCAAATTCGGGTTTCAGGTTACAACAAACCATTATGAACTCGGATTTATCCAGGTGGTTACTTGAAAAGGTTTTAACCCTATCCCTAGACAGCAGTCTTTGCAGAAAGAAAAAGAAATCCAATTTCTTACAAAATTCAAGATACATAATTCGTTAATGTGAAATATATTGCTAAACATACTTATGGGCCATTCTTATAAAAAATAATTAAAAATAATTTCGGAAAAAGGGGGAGAAAACCGAACCAATAAAGCAAATCTAAACTAACCCAGTGTAATCTGCAAACTTTCTTGTAAAACATTACTCCAAATTCATTTCACATACTTAATAATTAGTCCTAAATTGAATGCATAGTTTAATTACTTTTCATTTAATTATCCAAATATAATTAAATTTGTAGAACATGAATATTAGAATCCGAGACATGTTTCAGCGAAATCTTAACCTTAAGGTCGTGGGATCGAGTCTTACGGAGGGCATTTCATAATTCGGAGGTCTCTTACGGAAGCTGCTCTTAACCTGGTGTTGGGGGTAGCCTACTATCTTGCCTCCCCTTATCCCATACATATGAAAAAATGGGACAGTCATTTTTTTTTCTCACGTACGAGGTAACCGTAAAATGTAGAATTCAGCGGCGCCAACCAAACCAACAACTCTTGACACGCGCGTAAAAAATCAAAGAGAAAATTCCCCGAAAATTGATATAATAAATCAGATATATAAAATTAAAGAGGTCAGGCCGGGGAGATCATTTTTCATTTTCATTTTTATAAAAAGTAATAATTTAATTTATATTTCTATTCCTTTCTCGCGTCAGTTTCTTCTAAATCGCGTAATAAGAAACTGAGAGCGAAAAGCCGAAAGGAGAGAGAGGAGGAAAGAAAGGGAGGAAGAGAGGCCTGAAAAAGACCAATTTGATCTTATCTTTCTTTCGATATTACCCTTTCTTCTTCGTCTTCCACCCCCTCGTAATCGTAATCGTAATCGTAATCGTCTCTTTCTATCTCTCTAACGCGCGCGCGCGTCCACATATATATTTTTCGTTTACACTTCTTGAAACATGAACGAGAAGGCCCACGTTTCCAAGGAACTCAATGAGAAACATCGGAAGGTGATCGCAAATTTATCATATCTTTCGACAATGTGATTTGCATATTACTTACGTTTTTTGATCACGTTTTCATTGTGTTCCTTGTGTTTTAGCCTTTGTACTGATTTGATCTGTGTTTGTTATATCATTTCTTTTGTTGCTTTTCACCTGATTTCTTTTAATTCATCTGAATTTGTTGGTTGTTTGATTTACATTTCATTTTTAAGGGATTTGATTGATTCGGATGTCGAATGGCGAATATGAGCTGATTTAAGACATTCTTTTATATGAATGAAATGATGGTTACATTCAAATTATTATCAGATTAGGATCGGTTTAGATTGATCAAGTTGGTAAATTCATTGAGATTAATGGAATTTCATCATTAAAAACTTCCATCTTAAATAGCAACATATATATTATGTTTTGCTATTTTGGAAGATCTAAGCTTGGGTTTTCTCAATCAATTTTTTTGAAAGTTTGGATTTTTTGGCCTAATGATGCATTTCACTTTCTAATATATTTGACAGGTTTTCTGATTATAATTGTTTTCTTCATATTTTTAAATTTTTGAAGGGTTGATTTTTTTACCTTGGGAACTTATGCAATCTTCCTATATGGGAATGAGGTCTATATTTAAGCCGTGGAGCGTGTTAAATTCCCCCATATTATTTAAATGTATACATGCACATACATACACTGATACACATATTTTCCTGAATTTTCAATTCTTGTGCATATTTGTTAACCTATATGGTATGATATACTCGTTTAACTTTATCGAGTGATTTTGGTTATTGCATATTTGATGATTCCTTAGCCTGTTATCTTATCTGGAATCAAGTTCTCATCTTTTGATTTCATATGTAGATTCTGGAAGGTCTTCTAAAAAATCCGGAGAATAAGGAATGTGCTGACTGCAAATCCAAGTACGTAACAAGAAAATCAAGAAAGGAGATTTGCATATTATAATAAAAAATAAGGGAGTACCTAAAATAGAAAATGTCTTAATAAAATGTAGCTTTCTGTATAAATTTTGTCATGAGTTGATGGTAATATCATTCTTTCACTGCAGAGGTCCGAGATGGGCTAGTGTGAATATAGGGATCTTTATATGCATGCAGTGTTCTGGAATCCACAGAAGTCTCGGTGTACACATATCAAAGGTGGTTTTTTTGCCTCTTGAGTCAAATTCACATTTCATCTCTTTCTGACTCAAAAAGAGTCTATTAAATTCTGCCAGTCTCAACTTTCATGTTTCTGTCTTGGAAACAAAACTTGGTGCCTCAGAAATGCATCTGACATCTTTTATTGTAATGTTTAAGACAGCAAAGGATTAGATTGGTTTGGTATTTACTTTTTAAAGTCCCAGGCTACACACCAAGCTTATGTTTCCGTGTGCATATATGCATCTTAATGCTTCTTGCTGCAGGTTCGATCTGCTACCCTGGACACATGGCTCCCTGAGCAGGTTGCTTTTATTCAATGTAAGCTTTTTTGTTTGGCCATGAATCTGTATTCTGATTTATATTGGTTTTATGTTAAGATGGAGTAGAGCCTATTAATATGACATCGGCTTTTCTTATTATACAGCAATGGGAAATGAGAAGGCGAACAGTTACTGGGAAGCTGAATTGCCCCCTAATTACGACAGAGTTAGAATTGAGAACTTCATTCGTGCAAAGTAGCCACTGATTTTTTTAGTATTTAGTTTTTTGTGAAGAGATTTTATATTATTCAAATTTTGTTGTGTATTTTTTTTTGTAGGTATGAGGAAAAGCGATGGGTTCCTAGAAATCGAAGATCCAAATCACAACCTAGAATGTTTGATGAAAGGGCTCCTTCATATGGGCCGGGACCGACGGAAAAAGTGGTCATCAGCGTGTTCATAGTTCTGATAATTCATTTGAGGAAAGGACCATTCAAGCATCTAGCAGAAATGAAAATCTTCCTGCTACAAGAATTAGTCTTCCTGTTCATCCCAAGGGACTGAATTCGGTATTAAGTTCTGATAATTCTTTTGAGGAAAGGACCATTCAGGCATCTAACAGAAATGAAAATCTTCCTGCTACAAGAATTAGTCTTACTGTTCCTCCCAAGGGACTGAATCTGGTATTAAGTTCTTTTGCTGGTGATGTGCTCTTGTTTCTACCCACAGTATTCCATTATGTATTTTATGAAAATCGACTAGTGCTGTTAGAGTGAAAAAATATGAGGAAAATGGCAGACAAAAAGATTGCAAACAAATAGTATGAACTAGAACTCTGTCTTGAAATTGCTTTGCATATTGTTCAACTCACTTTCTTGCTTCTCCTTATATCGTATTTCTTCTAGTAACTTTAATTTTCTCCAAAAAAGTACTTTCATGATGTTGTGCTGATCTAACAGGTTGCACCTCTCCGGGGACCAGAAACGGTTGTTGTGGCACCAACTGGGGCAACAACAACTCCTTCCACTGTTACGCCCCCTAAATTTGAATGTGCTACAGACTTTTTCAACATGATATCCATTGATGATGCTCCAAGTGAAAATGCTTCTGGTTCTGGGGCAGCTTCTACTGATGATATTGATTGGGCAGGTTTCCAGTGTATGTCCTAAAGTTTCCCCATTATTTTTTTGTTTATTGGCATCACCTTGCATTTTTGTTTATGATCTTCTTAACATGCTTTCTGCCAAGTGTCAACCGCCTAGGAATGGTGATAGCATTTTATTATTGCCATTAATTTTGTGACCTGGTAATTTTTAGCCGCTGGAAACACTTCTGCAACTGACAAAAACGATCTACCACAAACTGGTGAGAAGAATGCCCAGACTGCTACTGGAATTGAGAATTTATTTAATGATTCACCTCCAATAACAACCAACCAAGTCCCAGAGAAGCCACAAAAAGATGTAAAAAATGATATTATGAGCCTTTTCGAAAAGGTATTTTCAACATTGTCATTTGTTTGTTGGAGCTAATTAGATTATTCCTTAACATTTCCCCTACCTTATGCGTATAAATATGTTTGTTACATGGTTTCGATCGATCCCAGTCCAATACATTGCAGCCTTATGCAATGCATCAACAACAACTAGCATTGCTAGCACATCAACAGTCCCTTCTGATGGCTGCTGCAGCTAAATCTGCTCCTGTAAATACTCGACATTCACCATCCAATGGTGCAATCATACCCTCTCAACAACAGCTAGCTTTGCTAGCACAGCAACAATCTCTTTTCATGGCTTCTGCAGCTAAAGGTGCTCCTGGAAATACTCAGCATCCTCCATCTACCACCACAAGCATACCCACTCAACAACAACTAGCTTTGTTAGCACATCAACAGTCCCTTCTCATGGCTGCTGCAGCTAAATCTGCTCCTGAAAATACGCAACAGCTTCCATCCACCGGCACAAGTATACCCACTCAAGCTTGGCCAAACATTGGCTATCAAATACCCGGAATTATGATGCCAGTTGGTGCACAGGCTGATTTGCAGAAACTTTCGCAGGTAGACTTCATGGTATAGTTGCCTCAGTTTCATGGTATAGCAAGCTTATCATCTTTTTATTTCACTGCTTTAGACAATGCAATCGGGACAGACACAACAAGTGGGAAACAACGTTGCATCATCCAGGTACATATCTAATCTCTTTATTGTCGGTTCTGTGTCTACTCTACCTTGTCAGGAGTTAGGGTTTTGTTACGCTATACACTTAATCTCCATATGGTTCAAATGCAGTATTAAGTTTCTATGTATTCTGAGAATCCCATGCCACGAACATGTTGTATCCATAGGTCCCTGATCTGAACTTCTGCCAATTGTTTTTCTTGCAGCTTTTATGCGTTGGGGCAAGTTACCCCAGCAAGTGGTGCTGCAACCAATGGAGCAAGCAAGCCTAAATCCGCCTCCCCAGTGTCATCGACGAATTCTTCGCACACCGGAGAGGATTATGATTTTTCATCATTGACACAACGGTTGTTCACAAAACGCTGAGTTGAGACAACCCGGTGATGATTGTTTGCTTCCCTCATACTAAACACAAAAAATAAGTATTTTTGTTTCCTTCTGGAAATTAACCCCTCTTCCGGGAGGGCATTTGTAAACTATTTGTAGATACAGCAATTTCAGTTTTTTATTGATCCATATTTGGGTGATGGCTTTATTTGTATGTATAGATGTTTGCCAAGTATTTAATAAACACACAAGTTTAGATTGAATTGTATTGATAATTCTCATTCGAACATGTTCTCTTTTGAGTTTAAAAAAATGAAAAATTATCATATGAACTTGTCTTACCACGTCATCCATGTTTTCGACCTATGAAACCATCTATTTCATCGTTTCCTCTTTATATCCTCATTTTTAGGATGGATCTTTTTTCCCCTTCATATGAACATGGAGTAGAAGATTACTTGAAAATTAGACCCTCTAGGAATACCTCCTTCCTTCCCTAGGTCATCTTTGTTAAATTGTTCATCTTTGTTCCCTTATATTCCCTAGGTCATGGGTTCTAGACCCACTAGGAATACCTCCTTCCTTCCCTTAGAATCTCTCTTCCCCTATCCTCTTAAGTAAGATTAGGATTAAAATTAGATTTTTTTTTATAAAAAAAATGGATGAGAAAATGAGCACATAAAATCCTCCAAAAAGAAAATTAGAGATCGAATGATATCATATATTTTGAGATTGGAAGAGATTAATCCTATATAATATATGGTATATAGTGAAGACATTAATCTATAATTGCAAAAGAGAAATTCAAGTTCATTATAAATCAAAGTATCTGTAAAAGAGAAAGAAGAGGAAATGCTTCCAACATTGACTTAGTATTCATCTATATTTCAATTTTGCGTTGTTTTCATCTTACCACGCAGAATAACAATCCTTTACATCGCCATTGTGGAAGGGAAAAGCCTATCCAAGAAAGTATATACACCCCCACCGAGTAGGAGAGCTCCACTGCGAAAGAAATCAAGTTTTAACCATCTCTCAGACAGCGATTACAGAAAATCTAAAGAGCAATTACAACAAAGAAATCCACGCAGATGCTTCGCTGCAGTGGAATAATATCACTTAACAAAGTGCCTGAGAGAGTACCTCACAGGGTTGATCCATGCAGAGAACTTCCTGAATGACAGCAGACTCTGCCAGAAGACATATAATTAGATGGATTTCAAGGTAAAAGATAATTGGATGTAAATTAGCTGTGAAAGACGGCAGCAATTAGTTATGACATGACCTAATAATTTTCTATAGTTCGAACAACAGATGTATGCGCCAACAGGATTCAGCTCTAACAGATGGCTTTGTGCATACCTGCAGTGCTCCGGCAAAAGAAGCGGCAAGAAGTAGAGGAGCAACGTAGCCGGTTGTGTATGTCAAGAGTAAGCTGCCTCCTATAATTGGATCCTGTTATGCAGTTGTAATAAATTAGTTATCGGATTTATTCCAAATTAAGAGAGATTACTTTCTCGTATGGACTTGAAGGTGTATTTCATTTGAACAGCTATCCAGTCTCTTTATCTTCGAGTTTACCTTGGATGTGGCTACATATCCCAGCAGAGTGGCCAGCACTGGTGTGCTGCAAGGTGAGGCAGCTAAAGCAAATGTCAGCCCAGCTAAATATGCTTGCACACCTAAGAAAAAAAATGATTTCGAAATTTACATCTTTTAAACGTTTTATAGATCCAGGCAAATAATTAACTTTTGTTCGGTTGGGGAAAACAATCCAGTTGTTTACCCGATGGGAAGTTGGCAGCTGCAGCACGAGGATCAAAATTGTTAAAGAACGAGGGAAGTTGTAACTCGATGACCTGTAATGTCAGTTCGGAGCAAAAGAAGAATAATTAGATCGTAAATGTCTGAGTGCAGGAAACTCTGGTACATGGCTGAATAAGAAATTGCTAATCTGGTTAGCCGTTCTGCATACGATGATATGAATAACTTGTAAGATCTGATTCCAACCTCCTGGCATTGGAAAGACATTCAGAAAACACAGACACAAGCATGGATGGCAGTAGGAGGGACAGAAACATGGAGTTTCATACACACTGATAAAAAAATGTGAACTTCAAAGGCAAGTGCAAGAATTCCTTCCATGCAAACAAGAGAAACTATATGATGAAAAATATTAGACGCTATCAACGGAACATTTAACCAGAAAAAAAACTGCGTAAATCAAATAACAACATTAATAGCTTGATTCAATACCTCAAGTAGATTAAGACCCATAATAACAGCCAAACCAGAAGCAGCCAATGGCAACCCTTGCCCTATCTGTCCGTATGCCTTCCCAGCAAAGGAGGCCCCCACACCGAGGAGTGCTAAAGTAGTTGCTAATCCTAGTGAGAAAGCCACTGAATTCACAACGACCTGACAATGAAAACTTGTTATATCCATGATGGCATTTGTAACTGCGTCTCACGTACAAGAGAGGAAGGGCCCATATATGTTTCAATTGGATTTAGCCTCTATTATTTACTCAGATGTGAGTTTGATATGAGGTATGTTTCCGGCACGGGTATTTATTAATTTTCTCTTCAGTTTTACAATGTATTTGAAAGGTTTTTGGAGAATCATATTCTCATACCTATGTCATGTATGTGTCGGACATAGGTTTCAAACATAGGTATTTCAAGAAAAATGAAGAGTTGGAGCAACATAGGATTCAGCTACATAGAAATAGTACACATGCTATACTGTCTGTTAAGGACAAGTTCAGAAGACAAATGCTCAGCTATAATAAGAAACTTAATTAAAAGGTAAAGAAAACAAGAAAATGTTTTCGAAAGTTTACTTGTTACAATTCTCTAATAATGGGATTGGGAGCTAGCAATTACAACTACTTCCATGCAAGTTTCAATGCTTCAATGAAGAACAAAAGGTTCTACTGAGAAATCTAACAGATGCGGTAAAGAAGATGAATTGCGTAGCAAGCTATTACCTCGGTTTTGCTCTTGCCGGATCCAAATGCACCTGGAAGCTTCGAATGAGACTCGAACGATCAGCAACAAACAAGAGAAGGACACGCAACAAAGTAACAGAACAGTTGACATTCAAGGAAAGTAGACTTATTACTTACCGATATATCCAAGAGTCAGTGGCAGAACACTTAGTGTACATGGAGAAAGGCTTGTAACAAGACCAGCCCCAAAAATAACAGCCAAACTGCCAACAAAAATGTTACAGTCATCACTCATCAACCACGAAATAGCTACAATTTCAAAGGGGAAAAAAACACGGAAAAGAACCTAGTAAAACTCAGAGCTGATAACTGGCCCTGAACAGCTTCATTAGCTTGCTGGCTAGCTGAATACAGTAGACCTCCAAACCAATCTCCTGTACTTTCATCAGCCAAAGTGTAAAGTGTAGCAGCTCCTTCCTGCTTTGAAAGGGAAATAATTCAAGTTCCTTAGACTATCTGCATATATAACTTCGAAATATATCGAAAAACAAACAGTATACTTATAAACTATGGTACTCTGACCCTTCATTTATTTTTTAGAGTAATATTTTACGATATACATAACACAGGAGAGGTATGATCCTCTAAGGACCTTACTTTTTGTATTGGGCACAAACGGAAATATCCGAGCTCGATTGATATTAGGGGTAACCATTCGATTGAGTCAAGTCAAAAGAAGGCCAATTTAATCCAACGAAAATTGAATGAAGTTTCAAGACAGTACATGGAAGGAAATCGAACTTTGCGAAGATAAATGGACGAAAACAGAAGCTCACCAAAAGATTATCTCCAGTTAAAGCCTTTGCAGAGTCGATTGCAACCAAATTTGCCACTAAAAAAACAAGAAACAAAAGCTCAGAATATTCTGAAACAAAAACCCATCACTCGTGAAGTAATTTACAACTTAGTTAACTATTAGAACAGACTAATTTACGATTAAAAGCAGTTATTCTAATGGAAGAAGACAGTGATTACCTGCTATAGTATTTACAAGAGCAGTTAACTTCAAAGTTCCCAAATCTTTGCAAACATCCTCACTTCCCTTCAAAGTTTCAAATGGTATATTTACCTGAAAAAACAATATATATAAAAAAAAGTTTTAGAGCTTAAAATTCGATCATTTCAACAAAATTAAACTAGTAATTGTTTTGAACTCACCATAGCTGGTTCTCGGGTGATTTTTACGGCTTGAGATTTTGGGGAAATTAGAGAAGGAAGAGCTGATGATGTGGTTTAGAACTAAAGCCATCTTCAAAAGAACAGACTCTGTTTGGCGGCAGAGAAAATTTGGCGGTGATTTCGAATTTGCGGCGGCTTTTTTTTTTCTCGGGAACCAAACGGAGGAGGGAGATATTTATGGCGTGTTACGATGATGTTTCGTGTTTTAAACGGTTTTTCTAGCTCTAACTTCAACTGATTGATGTTAACGGTTTAATTGGAATGATGATTTTACGAATCAAGTGAAAAACATAGATTATAAAATAATATATTAATAAAATTAAATTCATATTTTTTTAACTTTTTCGAGAAAAAATAATTTGTAAATAATACCATTTAATTTAAATGCGTTCTTGATCTATAACTTTGATCTTTTGTAAATATATATATTTAGAATTTTTAAAATAGCGTTTTTGATAAGGCGCGGCATTTTTTTAGCAAATTCTAATCCCCGATGTTTCGATTTCCGTTTTTTGTTCTCCGTTCTTTTCTTTCCTTTTCCTTAATTTTTCACCTCAAGATTTTTTTTTGGCTGTTTCGACATTCTTTTGGCTTTCTCATGAGCGTTTAGCAAGGAAATCGATGTTGAATTTTCTAAAACAATTGCTTCTGTCTCCGGTGATTTTACGGCGTTTTTCCCTTTCCAGAAGTGATGTTCTCGTTTGCGAAAAGTTCGTTGGAGGATATGCTGGAATCTCTCCGGCAACGAGACGATGGCAAAAAGCCAAAAGACGAACCACCGGCATTACCTTCCCGACCGCCATCCAGGGCGAGGATTAGCTCTGGACGCTGGGCTTCTCAGCCCGCCTTCATTGCCGATGATGAAAACGGTGGCGTCGAGGATAAAGTGAAAAAGAATACACTTTGGGGCAACAAAAGGAGGAAAGATGTCATTGTGGTTTCACCCTATAATTTGGAGGAGGAAACGAGTGTTTCGGAGGAGAGCGATAATATTGGGTATTTTATTGAGAAAGTAAGTATTAAGTGGAAATTAGTATTTTTTTTATTAATTTTCTTATGCTTTTATGTATGCTTAGAAAGAGGTTTTAGAAGCTCAATATTGATTAATCCATGTTTTAATACTATATAGGAAGTAAGTACAGGAGAATTATGAACTTTTAAGAAATTCGAAAATTTGTAAGGTAAACTATGTATTTAGTCATTCAACTATTCGATTGGTTTAGTTTTGGTCACTCGATAACATTACGTATGTATGTTTCATTTTGGTTTAATGAACTTTTTTAGTGTCTTTAGGAAGAGGACTCTTTAGCTCTGATTTATTAAGGTTTGATATATGATATATCCACGAAAACTTACGTTTCTTTGCCTTTTGGGGTTGATACCAAGTGAATTAGTGTGTTCTTTTATATACATATATATGACATATTGCTTGGGGGTGTTTTTGATGATATTGGTTGAGAATTGAGTGTCATAATAAATCTATTTATTGCATGAAATAAAACTCTATTTATTGAAAGAGGATTTGGCTTCAGAAACTTCGCGTTTGGTGCTGGCAACGTGGGGGGTGGGTATCTGGAACTATAGAGTCGACATTAGGGGAAGAATCATTTATCTCCCTTGCCAATGAAAATGTAAGTTTCATGATTTCTGAAATTGTTCATTAGCCTCGACCATTCCTTTTGGTAGGTTGTTGTATGAGATTTATACTTGTATCATTTATTATAGGTAGTAAAAGTCTCCACCAGCTATCTCTATCCTGCAAACCCAGAACTTCTGGATGGTGTGGATGATCTCATGCATCTTAGTTATTTGAATGAGCCCTCAGTTCTTCACAATCTTAAGTACAGATATTCTCGTGATATGATATATGTAAGCGGGATATAAACCTTTCTCATGTACTTATCAATGAAGATATCTCTACTGCCATGCTTCATTTATAAATTTTTCTCTATGTAGAGTAAAGCAGGTGCAATTTTGATTGCAGTCAACCCATTTAAAGATGTTGAAATTTATGGGAAGGATTTTTCACGACTTATAAACAGAAAGCTACCGACAGCCCTCATGTTTTTGCTATAGCTGACACTGCATATAATGAGATGATGAATGGTGAATGAAACCATTCTCTCTCTCTTTTTTTTTTTAAAGTTACAATAAACAATTAATAAATTGCTTATTGTGTTACACCAACTTGTTTCTGATGTTCTCTTCATGTTTATAATTAAAATTTTGCAGATGGAGTAAATCAGTCTCTGATCATAAGGTATTTGGGTGTTGAATATTTTTTGTTATATATTATAATGTAATATTACCGTTTTCTGTTATGCATAATTTTTGTTTTATGAACTGTAGAATTATATAATATAAATTTATCCTGCAGTGGGGAATGTGGAGCTGGGAAAACTCAGACTGCGAAATTTGCAATGCAGTACCTAGTTGCCATTGGAGGTGGCAATGTTGAGATAGAGTGTCGACTCCGCCAGGCAAGTTGTATACTTGAAGCATTTGGGAATGCAAAGACATCTAGGAATGACAATGCTAGCAGATTTGTGAGTTCTTTCCCTTATTTTTTTGAAACTTTTCTCTGCTGAAGGTATATATATATATATGTTATATCTTTTCTGACCTTAGTGAACGATTCTTATGTATTTCATATCTGCTAAAGCTCAGAAAGTATGTCTTATTAATTACTCTGTTATGCTGAAATGATGCAGGGGAAACTTATGGAGATTCATTTTACAGAAGTAGGGGAGATATCTGGTGCAAATATTCAAACTTGTAAGCATGTTGAAAAAGAAAAGATTGCTATTATTACTTGATACATTGTAGTGATAAATAATATTAGATAAATCCTGTCAACTGACTTATTTTTGTGTTAATGTTGATTCACCAACAATACGTTTGTGTAGTTCTTCTAGAAAAGGTGACTTCCCGACTCCATTAAACTTCATATTGAATTTTATCACTGTAATAACGTAAAATATCTGATGTGAATGTTTTCCGATGTTATCTTTGAGCAGTTGAGAGTAGTTCAGCTGGCCCCTTCTGAAAGGTCTTACCATATCTTTTATCAGCTTTGTGCTGGTGCTCCACGAACTCTAAGGGGTACTATTTCATTTCACAGAGTTTAATCAGAATAGGTTGCGAGTGTCTATAACATTGGCTCCCATTCTTATCAAAAAATAATAATAATAATAATATTGGCTCTGCCCTATATTATCTACATGGAACTATGCTAGCATGCTTGCTCCTGTTATCTCTTGAAGCTGTAAACCTTTTAAAGAATGGTATCATACCATTTATATCTCAAGGTTGCTCAAGTTACTCTTTCCACGTCCTTTTTATTCTCTAGATTGAACCAATTAAATGCTAAGGGTGCTATACCTTACCTATTTTAAAATGCCAGAATCCCTTAACATCTTCTTTAAACTAGACATGAATGCATCATAACATCTACAACTTTGCAACTTATTAACTTGAATGTGTGTAATTTACTTTTGATCTTTTAAATCGTGCGTTTGCAGAAAAACTGCATCTTAAAATGGCTGATAAGTACAACTATCTTGCCCAGAGTGATTGCTTGGTGATTAATGGTGTTGATGATGCTCAGGAATTCCATAAGCTTATGGTAACTCAGAAGACTAGATTTTAATGTTACCATGGTGCTGGTATTCCCGTTCCATACAATTTCTATCCCATTGCCTTTTAAGCCATAGTTTCTACATTTCTGTAGGAAGCCTTGGACATTGTTCGATTTTCCAAAGAAGAGAAAGACGAGGTGTTTGAAATGCTTGCTGCAGTGTTATGGCTGGGAAATATATCATTTCAAGTAATTGACAATGAAAATCATGTGGAGGCATCAGATGATGAAGGTAATGGATATATGCTTTGCATAACAATATTCTTCAGTAAAACAAAAAAATTGCATTAGATATTGTATTTAAATCTAGGATTTTTCTCTTTCTTTTCTTGTAGTAGAGAGAGAGAGGATTCTTTTTTTGTTGTAGCATTTTTCAAGGAACTGAAAGCTTTGCATAGTTTTATGACGGTGATGTCTCATTGGCAAGATGGTGATGCATAAAATGAAGAATAAAATTGCTGGGTTAATGCACATGCCAATTTGTTCTATTACTTACAGTAGAGTCAAGAAGTTCCTACTTTAGAAGCTGAACTCATTAATTTTAACATTTAATGCAGATATGCAGATTTATTTTCTCCTAAGCATTTTCTGCTAACCTGTGAAATGAACAAGGTCCAACCTTTATCAAAGTTTTATAGGCTCGTCACTTTGGATGAATTTTAAGTGTCCTATTTTTTTTATTAAGAATCCTCCATGTATTTTTACTATGTTGTAATTACTACAAAGTAACATATCTTTAACCCTTAATAATTTTGTTCAGAACTCATCATACGCGATACAATACAATTTACAAAAATGCATGTGCTGTAAAGACCTTATAATATGTTTTCTTCATCATCATTAGTTTTGTGCATTCTTATACTACTATTTTGTTGAATATGTGAAAGCCAAATCTTTAACTAGTTTTTGTGTTGCATATAAGAGCATACTTGTTTATATGTTGTGTGTATCCTTGTTGAAGACTCGGATATTTATGTGAGATGCTATTTTTTATTCCTCATTGCAGCTTTAATTAGTGCTGCCAGGCTGCTGGGTTGTGCATCACATGAACTGAAGCTAGCTTTATCTACCCATAGAATCCAACCTGACAAGGGTAGTATTGTTGAAAAGCTTACATTGCAGCAGGTTTGTCCTGTATTTTGTTAACCAAATTGTTCTTCCTCAATCCTTTATATTTGCTGTCGTGCACTCATTGACAATAATTGTAATTTAGGCTACTGATGCAAGAGATGATTTGGCAAAATGCATCTATGCTGGCTTGTTTGGCTTGCTTGTGGTACAAATAAACAAGTTACTGAACGCGGGCAAACAGCATGATGGCAGCTCTATGAGCATCCTTGATATTTATGGGTTTGAGTCATTTAAGGCAAGTGCACTTTAGTTCTTCAGAGTATATCTTTGTCAAGTTTTTCCATCTGATGACTTTTCCTCTTTCCATATTCAGAAGAATAGCTTTGAGCAGCTTTGTATAAACTATGCAAATGAGGGGTTGCAACAACTGTTTAACTGGCACCTACTTAAGCTTGAGCAAGAGGTTAGCAACATAAATCTTTTACTTGTACAGTATTAGATTTCTGTACTGTTCTGTAGAATA